CCGTTGGGTTTTTGCAGGTGGATGAAGATGAAGAAGGCATAGGTGCTGGGTTCGAAAGTGCTGGGTTTGATTTCGAACCCAGCAGGCACTGGGTTCCGTTTCGAACCCAGCAATTGTTGGATCCATGGATCTGTTGAGTTCCATTTGTTTATCAACTGTTGTTTGTTGGGTTCTGTTTCAAACTCAGCAGTCGTTGGGTCCATGGATCTGTTGAGTTCGATCTATTTATAGATTTGTTATCTGTTGTGTTATCCTCGTATTCTTGCAAGTGCTGAATTCGATTTCAAACCTAACAAGCGTTGGGTTTTGTTTCCAACCCAACTGCAGTTAAATCGAAGCATCTATTGATTTCTATATGTTGGTTTGTTGTGATTCTCGGATTTAATATTAGGAAATGTTAGGGTTTGTAGAAATTGAAAGGAAAGGGAGAGGAAGAAGAAAGGGAAAAAAGAAAAACAAAGAAAGAAAAAATTTTTTTTTAAAGATAATTTCTTGCCATCTCATTTTTTTGCCACGCTGTACATCCTAGGTGTCAAAATGTTTTAATATGTCATCCTTTTCCCCGTCAAGTAACAAGATACGTAGGCAGATATTTAACAGAAGAACCAAATCAGGGTTAAAATGGTAAACAGTAGGGACCAAATCAGGGATTTTTTTAGTTTAGGAACCAAATCGGGGGTCTGTACAATAGTTCAGGGACCAAAATGGGGTTTTAACCTAAAAAATAATGAGAATCAAAAAGATGATCAAGGTCATAATCGATCACTTACTTTTGAAACAATAGAGTTTGAGTAGAATTATGTTGAGTTTAATTCTTATTAATAAGCAAATGATAGTTTATTGATTCTTTTATAATGTTCTTTACTAGATTTTCTCAAGTTGTCAAGGTATAATTAATATTTGGCAATGACTCTAAATATCTTTAAAAACCTATCATTCTTCGCAAATATGAAGATGGAGGTTATTTTTAAACCTTCACCAAAAATTCTCATAAAGATTCTCATATCCATCATTGACAAGGATGGAGATGCGAATGAGTCTCATCTCGTGAGAACCCGTTACCATCCTAATAAAATCAAAATACATGGTCCCTATTTGAGC